ATTCAGCTGTCTCGGCCTATCTTCTGAAAAAAAAAGGTTATCAAATAACGGCAATTTTTATGCAAAACTGGGATGATTACTTTTCGAATCAACAAGTAGAATTTTGTTCTCAAGCACAAGACTGAAAAGATGCTCAATCAATTGCTCAACAACTAGAAATTCCTATTCATAAAATAGATTTCATCCACGAATACTGGGAAGAGGTTTTTGCTAATTTTCTTTATCAGTTAAAAAAAGGACTTACTCCTAATCCTGATATTTTATGCAACAGCATAATCAAGTTTCATTATTTCGTCGAATATGTGAAGAAAAATTTTGATACTGAGTTTATTGCCACTGGGCATTATGCCAAAATAATTCAAGAGAATGGAGAATATCTTTTGAGTAAACCCCAAGACAGTAATAAAGATCAAACTTATTTTCTTTGCCAAATTGACCGATCTCTTTTGAATAAAATAATTTTTCCTCTAGATGAATTAACTAAACAAGAAGTTCGTCAAATTGCTCAAGAGATAGGGTTAATCAACGCCAGAAAAAAAGACTCAACCGGTATTTGTTTTATCGGTGAACACAAATTTAAAAAATTTCTTAGCAATTATTTTCCCGAAAAAGAAGGAGAAATAATAGATATCAATAGTAAAGAAGTAATTGGTAAACACTCTGGAATTCCTTATTTCACTATTGGTCAAAGGCGAAATCTGGGCTTGCAAGGACAAAAAATTTCTCATTTTGTAGTTGGAAAAGACATAGAAAAAAATATAGTTTACGTGGCAAGCGGTTGAAATAATGAATGATTATATAGTAAATGATGCGTAGTAAAAAGCATTAATTGGCTAATTGAAGAAAAGAATTTGTCTAATTGTCTTGCTAGTCCAAAACTTACTGCAAAATTTCGTTATCGACAACCAGATATTCCAGTAAAAATTTCTCCTTTCGAAAACAACAGATCTTTTTTAGTCGAGTTTGAAGAAAGACAGCGCGCAATTACCCCTGGTCAATATGCTGTTTTTTATCACAGCGATGTCTGTTTAGGAGGCGGAATAATTAACAACACAGAGAAAAATAACGAAAGTGGCGAACCCATTTTTAATTAATAAAAAAATATCACCTTAACTATCCATCACTATACTTATTTAAAAATTTATTTTTGAGTAATAATAACATAAAAAACCTATTCATAAACAAAATATCAATAAATTGTTTAAAAGAAATCAGCGAAGTAGGACACGCCCATTATCAAAAAAGAGTAAGTGGAGGAGGAAAATTTAATCCCGGTTACCCGTGAAAAAGGAAACGAAAAATAGTGATAACTTTGCTTTTTCGGTAGGTTATTTATGGCAAAAGTGACCAAGAAATCACGCAAGTGACAAAAATAAATTAAATGAAAATCTTAGCAATTGGTGATATATTTGGAAAAACTGGTCGCAAAATTATTAAAGATTTTCTTCCAAAAATTAAGAAAGCTCAGGAAATTGACTTAGTTGTTGCGAATGTCGAAAATGTTACCCACGGCAAGGGCATTTCTCAAAAACATTATCGTGAGTTAAAAAGTTATGGAATTGACATAATGACTTCTGGAAATCATATCTTTGCTCTCGAAGAGACAAAAAGATATATAAACGAGGTTTCAGATTTATTACGTCCACTTAACTCCAATCCTTACCATCCTGGTTCAGGAACTGTTCTAATAAATGTTAAAGATTGGAAAATTCGTATTACTAACTTATTAGGAACTAATTTTATGCCCTTAGCTGTTGAAAATCCTTATTTTTCCTTAGAAAAGTTATTAGATTTGCACGATTGTGATATTCATTTAGTAGATTTTCATGCTGAGGCCACCGCAGAAAAAAATATTTTAGCGTGACATTATGATGGTCAAATTAGTGCTCTATGAGGAACTCATACCCATGTTCAAACCGCCGATGAAAAAATACTGCCAAAAGGAACAGCTTTCATTACTGATTTAGGTATGACCGGACCATATGGTGGCATTATAGGTGCTCAGCCAGAGGTTGTTATTCAACGAGTTAAATATGGTTTACCGGCTAAAATGGCTCCTTATGAAGATAAAGGACAATTTAATGGAGTTATTTTTGAGTTTGACAATTTCACTAAGAAAGCGATCGGTGTTAAGAGAATTAGAGAAGTTTTTTAAAAAAAATTAAAGTAAAAAAGTCAATCCAATAAATATTGCTATTAGTATCATATAAATATTACGAATAAAGTTAGTTAACTTTGTGAAATGGGTGTTTTTATAAATATTTTCTTTACTTTCTTGTGTTGGAGAAAAACCATCTTCCTCACCAAAAAAAAACGAGAGAAGCACAACAATTATTCCTAAAATTCAAAAGACAGTTTTTAACAAAATTATCATTATATTAATATTATACAAGATACTCGTTTTTGTTCCGGTATTAGGTTGAAAAGTTTCTTTTGGAACATCAATGATCGCAACAATTCTAACTTGCTTTGTTATGAATTTTCTAACATACCCCAGTTGGTTATTGCCGTAGATTCCATCAGGTAGCACTATTGCCATTCTACCACCATTTTTCAGCAACTGTAAGCATCTTTCAATAAATAAAATTTGAGGAGCTTCTTGATCTTTTAATTTTCCTTTTTCTCAGTTTTTTCTTTATCTTGCTTCCATCTATGTCCGAGCTCAAATTGTTTTAGTTTTTCTTTTTCAGAGTAACTTATATTATTACAAAATGCAAAACTAATGTCCGCTTTTAACTTTCTTATCTCTCATCAAAAAATAAACAACAACTATTCCCAAAACCAAAGCAATCCCTCCTCCAATTATTCAAGGGGTTCAAATTAGTAGGTTTAGGAGAATTAGTTAGGTTACTTTCTTGCTCCAACTCACTTAAACTATTCTTTCCTAGTTTAGTTTCTTGAACCATTATTATTATATTCAATCTTCTAAAGCCGTTATATTAATTCTACAATTTCAGTTTTTTATTAGTAAATATAAAATATAAATACAAAATGGAGGAGGCGAAGGGATTCGAACCCTTGAATACTTACATATTAATAGTTTTCAAGACTATCTCCTTAAACCACTCGGACACACCTCCCTTTTTTAATAATTTTCTTTCGAAGTAACTTTATAATATTTTTTTTCTTTTCTCATAATTAAAACTATTTTTAAAATTTTTCTAAATACTTAATTGCTGATTGAACAGCAATAGCTCCTTCGGCCACAGCCGTAACAATTTGTTTAATTTTTTTTTCAGTGGCACGAGCCACATCGCCAGCTGCAAATAAACCTAATATCGAAGTAGAACAATCATTTTTGGTATCAATATAGCCTTCTCGATCACAAATTCCTAATTCATGAATAAAATTGCTGTAGGGAGAAAGTCCAATACAAGGAAAAACTGCATCAATTGACAATTCAGTCAATCTATCATCTATAAGATTGCGAATAATTGCTGTTTCTACTTTTTTATCTCCTTTAATTTCACTTAAAACCGAGTTCAATAAAAGTTTTATTTTGGAATTATTTTGAATTTTTTTTACTATTTCTTTTTCCGCTCGAAAGTTTTCTCGGCGATGAACAAGATAAATATCACCAGCGATATTACTCATATATAAAGCTGTTTCTAGAGCCGAGTAACCTCCCCCAACTACCACTATAGTTTTTCCCCGAAAAAGAAAACCATCACATATCGCACAGTAAGAGACTCCTGAATTAGTAAATTCCTTTTCTCCAGAAATCTTTAGTTTATTTTCTACTGCCCCCGAGGCAATAATAACTGATTTACTAATAAAATTATTTCCCGCACCAGTTTTTAAAAAAAACACCCCTTTGTCTTTTTTTATTTCGATAATCTCTTCATTTTTTCACTCAATTTCATAATATTTCGCGTGCTCTGTCATCCTCTTTGCTAAATCTGGACCTTTAATCGAAGTGAAACCTGCGTAATTATCTACTGTTTCCGTTTTGTTTAGTTTTCCTCCTAGCAAAGATTTTTCAAAGATCAAAGTTTTAAGAAGAGCTCTTTTAGCATAAATAGCTGCCATCAATCCAGCCGGACCCGCCCCAACAATAATCAGGTCATAACTCATATATAGATTTTTTCTTTTTGATTTTTTGTTGTTTCTTATTAAAACTCAAAAAAAAGAAAGGGAAGAAAAAAATTTTCTTAAAGCATTAGGAAGTATTTTTGTCTCATACTTATATATTTGTGCCGATAAGAGTGAATGGAAGCGCTATAAGAAATTTGTTTTAATTTAGAAAATAAGAAAAATATCCCTCAACTATTTTTCTTGACTGCAAAAATTTCAATAAAGTTATCTCTTTGCAAAATTTTTTTAAAAATTCAAATAGAATAAATAAAAACTCAGAAAAAAGGACTAATTATGAATAAAAAAAATACCGTAATGACAATTGATCCCGGAGGAACTACCGGAATATGTTTTGTTACTGATGGCTTTGTTAGTTTTCAAGAATATCAAAGTAGCAATTGGGAAAATCATTTAGATTTTATTATTAATTTAATGATAAAAAACAGGCCACAAAAAATTGTTTATGAGACAACCAATTATATTCACAAAAGAATGACCGGTTCTTTATCATTACTTAAATTAATTGGCAGTATTGTTGGAACTAAATACACCTTTACTTTTATTAAAGAAGTGAATAGTATTGCAGTTAATCAAGTAAAGTTTTTTAAAAAAAAAATATTTGTTGGAGAAGAGCAAATAGAAGATTTAACTTGCGAAGTTGGCCGAGGTAAGGGTTGAAAGTATAAGGGGGCAAAAATTAGTTTGCACCAATTAGATGCATTAGTAATTTATCATTTATGGAGCAAAGGAAGCTTAGAAAGTCAAAAGAAAATAAAGGAAAAAATAATTCAGTTAAGAGAAAAGAAAAGGTTAGGAATTAGGCAAAAAGAACAATTGAAAAAGTTAGAGAAATTTTTAGTCGAAAGAGAGAAAACTAAGGAAATATCTAAAATTAATTATTAATTACTATTTGAATTAAAAGCGAAGCGCCTGTAGTTCAGTGGATAGAATATTTGATTGCGGTTCAAATGGTCAGAGGTTCAATTCCTCTTAGGCGCACCAATTGAAAAGTTAATGATGTGATTTTAAAAAGTGGAGTTAGTTTTCTAACCATGCTCTTTAAAATCAACTTTTTTTCAGAGTATTAATCAACTCTGACTCTTTTGAAAAACTTTTTCTTTGGCGAAGT